TAAGTTATATATATACATGCATGTATATATGTATATATGGTTAATGGTTGCTTTCTGCAGTTTCAGACATATGCATGTTGTCGTCTATATATATACCTGGTGTGTTTTTCTTTAACCACGTTGTCTACTAAAGTCTGTATTTGACCCAATATATATTTTCTTAACTCACATTCTCTATATTCTTTCTTACCCAAACCCTAATTTAATTTGTTTTCGCATGGCTAGCTGTAAATTAAAGTTATAATGAATTGCGCGTGATTAATATATTATATACATATAGCAATTAATTTATATATAAATAAAGATAATTGGGTGGATAATTGGATATATAAAGAATTGGAAAAAAGTGGATAGAAGGGTCCAATTAATATATATTGGAATATGGATAACGAGTTTAGCTATCTGCTATAGATGGTCCCAAACACCAGATTGGATCTGCCTCTCTCTCTCTCTCTCTCTCTCTATATATATATATATATATATACACTACAAGAAATTGTCAAATTGGCAACAATACGTTTTGTTGCCAAAAGACTTTAATTTCGTTGCCAATTCCTCTTGCAACAAAATTATTATGTTACCATCTTCGTTGCCATTTCCTTGTCACCAAAAGTTCCGGGCAACGAAATGTTACAAATCGTTGCCACTAATGCATCATAGACAACATTGTTATGTCGTTGCTACATATTGATCGTTGCCAATGCATTAAGTAATAACAACAAGTCTATTTTGTTGCCATACATTTATCGTTGCAAATTCTTTGATTACTACGAAAGAATTTATTTTGTTGCCACAAATCTATCGTTGCCAATACATTTATTAATAACAACGAATTTATGTCGTTGCAACACATAAATCGTTGCCAATACATTAATCACTAAGAACGAAATACATCGTTGCCAATACATTAATCATTAAGAACAAAATTGTATTTCGTTGCAACATATTTATTGTTGCCAATACATGACTTATTTTCGACCGCACCCGCTAGCCCGACCTTTGGACTGCCGACCCGACCTTTAGACCGCCGAACCGCTTCAGAATCCGAATTGTTGGGTTAAACTCATGATTTCGCCCAATAGGCTAACCCGCTTGATAAATGTCAAATATATGGAGACATGACAATAGTAAGAGTCGAACTCTGGTTGATTTGAAGTTAGACACCCTTCACACCGCTGGGGCAACAATACATTTGTGTAAACTGACTGAAACTAAATTTATAAAAACTAAATACACAAGATCAAATGATTAAAATAACTACATAAATAAATAATATGTCATAACAAATAATTTATTATATGTATTTTATGTTCAAAACATAATTTACAATAAAATTTAATAATAAATATAACATCTACCATTAATTATGTATAGTAATTTTTTAAAATTATATCAACAATTGACTTAACAAAAAAATTATGAGTTATTGTAGTTAATATAAGCAAATAAGATTTTTCTTATCATATTATTATTATTATTATATATATATATATATATAAAATTAAAATCAAGAAAAAGAGTTGGTTTTATTTACAACGATTATATTTTGTCGTCAAATCACTTGGAGCATTTACAACAAAATATTTCGTTGTCTTTCGTCACTTATTCACAACAAAAATAAATTTGCTGCCATTGTAAATGTATTTACTACAATTTTATATCGTACCAAAAAGAAATATTCTTTTGCAACAATAAAGTTGTTGTCTTACATTATATTCGTTGTAAAATATATACGATACTATTCACGATAATATGTTTCGTTGCCTATGAGATTCAAAGGCAACAAAAATATCTTGTTACAAAAACGTTATTCTTTAGCCACAAATACTATATTTCGTTGCTAAAATATAACTATTGGCAACGAAATTCATTTCGTCGATAAAGAAATCGTTGCCTATTTTGCATTTTCTTGTAGTGTATATATATATATATATACTATTTTTTTTCTTCCCTTTATTTTTTTTTAAAATTTATTATTATTATCAATAATTTATTGAATAAATGTTATGTTCCGTGTGGATATTGAAATTTGAATGGGAACCAGAATAACATAGAAACACGTTTCTTTGATTTACTTTGACGATATAGGCCAGAGTTTGAACCCATCAATAGGATTTAATTAGGCCCAAGTAGATAATATATTCTCTAAACAGAGTTTGCTTTCGGCCCAATTGGAGTGGGACGAAAGTTGTACAATTTCAAAATTTAATATCAAATTATTATTTAATTAATGTAATATTTTATTAGGAATATTATTTAGTTTGGGTGTAATCTTCTCTATGATTAATACACACCCAATGTATATAACCAGGTGTAGCACGCATCGTACTCTAACTCCCCGTTGACTTTCAAGTAGGCAAACGAAGCGTAATGAACACTATTTTGACAGCAAAACTAACTTCAACAACTATATTACATGCATGCAGTCAACACTCTTCAAAACCAAAACTAAGTTCTTTCATATATACCTAATAAATAATAATCCATCACACAATTCTTCCAAAATTTCCTTCAACGGCACACATGCATGTTTTTTTTATTTCAAACAATCTATACGCACTATATATAAATTAAATTAAAGTGAATATAATTTCCTCAATCCAAACACTGCACAAGAAAATCAAAACGAAGCAAAAATGGAATATTCCTCCAAACTAATTTTCATCTTCCAACTAACCCTATTCATCTTTTCCACATCATCATCTACCGCCGCCGCCAACTCCAACCTCTTCCGCGAATACATCGGAGCGGAATTCAACGGCGTCAAATTCTCCGACCTCCCGATAAACCAAAATGTCGATTTCCACTTCATTCTCTCCTTCGCCATCGACTACACCACCACCTCCACCCCGACAAACGGCAACTTCAACGTATTCTGGGACACGGACAACCTCACCCCACCACAAGTCTCCGCCATCAAATCCCGAAACCCTAACGTCAAAGTCGCACTCAGCCTAGGCGGCGACACGGCGCCCGACGGCCACCCAGCCTACTTCAACCCTACCTCCGTCGAATCCTGGCTCACCAACGCCGTCGCCTCACTAACGAAAATCATCCAATCCTACAACCTCGACGGGATCGACATCGACTACGAGCACTTCAAATCGACCCCCGAAGTTTTTGCGGAGTGCATCGGGAGGCTGGTCTCGACGTTGAAGAACAACGGGGTGATTTCTTTCGCCTCGATAGCTCCGTTCCACGATGAACAAGTGCAGAGCCACTACGCGGCGCTGTGGAGAAGCTACGGGCGCGTGATTGACTACGTGAATTTTCAGTTCTACGCTTACGATGAAGGGATTAGTGTGGAGAAATTCTTGGGGTATTTAGCCAGAGCAGAGTTTGAAATACGTAGGACGGAAGGTGTTGGTTAGTTTTATCAGTGATGGGATTGGGGTTTTGGGCCCCCGTGACGGATTCTTCACGGCGTGTAGTAGGTTGAAGAGTGAGGGGAATCTTCATGGAATCTTTGTTTGGTCGGCGGATGATTCTTTGGGGTTAGGGTTTAAGTACGAGAAGATGTCTCAGTCTCTGCTTGCGATTTCTCACTAGCTTACTGTACTGTGTGTGTGTGTGTATTTATTTATTTATTTTTTTTTTTTTTTTTTGAACGGGTATGCATTATCTGTATGTATATGTATATGTGTCTGCCTCGATCATCTTCTGTAGATGAATTTGCATGTATTTGTGGAAGTGCTTTAAATTAATGGTAATGAAATTATATGTTTTTTTCTAAAATTTTTTCTTCATATTATCTGTCACTAATACTAATTTTTATTTTCAGATTGAAGAGAGTAATTATAATTTAAAAAAAAAAAAAACAATAATAGTAATGGCTTATTGGGCATTTATCTAATGGGCCTAACTCACGGTTCCAAATTCCAATAAATAATTCTCACACATGTTAGGCCTTGGCCCAATAATTTAATTAAATAAATTTCAAGTTTTTGCTAATGAAAATCATTAATTATTAGGCTTTGGCCCAATAAATTTAATTAAATAAGTCCTTCACTTGAAGTGATTCTGCATCATCGATTAATATTTTTAACAAGTTTTTATTTTAGAATACTAGCCAAAAAATTGCATATTTCTTTTCAACTCTAGCTGCTATGGTCAATCCTTTACACTTCAAAGGCAACGGATATATATATAAAAGGCTTGAAAATAAAACAGTAAAATTCATTAAATTACATTTGCAGCCATTTTCCTAACATGATGAATACACAATGTAATTTAAATTTTAATATTACTACACATAGTAACACGTACATCCATGTGTATACGTGCTTAGTGTATAGTTATTTATGCATATCTATAGTTTAAAAACCACATGTTATATTTCACTAGGTGTAGGATCTCATAAGTTTTAATTATTTTTCCAGTCCCAAAAAAAGTTTAATTTTAATTTTAGCCCTAAAATAGTGTTTTCCGTTCATTGCTAACGGGCATGTGACGTCAGGGACCGAAACTGTTTAAAATCTTTGAAATGATGGGGACCAAAAGTCGAATTGGACAACACATGAGGAACCAAAAGTGTAATTCTCCCAAATAAGTAGTTAAAAATAGACGAATATATAGCACACACATGAAAATGTCCAAATTAAATATATTAAACCGGCCAGAATATCGGGCGGTCTACGTCTGTAAAGTGGGGGGTGGACCGGGTGGGTAGAAGAGTCTCGCTCCCCTACACACCCAATCAAATGATGCCAAATCATTGTAACGCATATAACCGCATTATAACATTCTCAGCTATTATATGCCTCTTCCTCTAATTTATCTCTAACACACACACACACACACACACACACACACACACACACACACACACACACAAACTTGTCTTCAATTAATATATATATAGGCACAGTCTATATATATATATATATATATATATATATACATAGTTTTACATATATGGCCTCGACTTGTATATCGAGCTGCATCGAAGATGCCCGTGTTCCGGTGAGAGCAAGCTACGTCAACCTCTACAAGTGGCCGGAATCCGACTACGAATTCGTCCGGTCGATGAGCTCCAAAACCGTCCGGAAAAACACTGTTTCCCCCGGCCATAATTCCGTCTACGGCCACCCTAGGGTGGTCGACAGCGTCTCATGCAGGCAGTTATATCTGAGAAGCTACACTTTCTCCAGGGAGGAAGATTACACCCATGAAAACACCGCCGCCATCAAATGCCTCGGCCGCCGGAGTAAGGACAAGACGGCCGCCGACGAACACTCTAAGAATAGAAAGTCCGGTGGTCGGAAGAAGCGACCGGAGGTGAAGAGGAGTAAGTCGGTGTCGTCGTGCTCCGCCCTGGCTTCCATTTTCCGGCGGCTGCTCTCTTGCACCACCAAGATTGATGTTGCCAATTGATGATTCGTCCTATAATATATTAATATTATATTATACTTTTTTTTTTGATATATATATATAATTATTTTCTGCCCTTTCTTTTGTTTGAGTTTTAATTTATACAAATAGGCCTTTTTTTTTGTATTTTCTCTTGTTGAAGTATGTATAAAACATTATAATATTGATTATATATAATAAGTATAGTTTGTGTGTTAGAAAGAAATGTACATTTCTTTTTGTTGGTAATTTTTAAACTTTCTAAACGATAATGGTAAGGAACACATTTCTCTCTATTGAATAATTAGATTTTACTTAAGAAAATAAGTAAATAAAAATTTATCAATTTTAAGATTAATTAATAAAATTGTTGGTGCACTACTTCTATTATATGAAGTCAAAATGTCAACGAAATCCACGTAATTGTTTAATTTGGTAAGCAACTAAATAATTATAATTAATAACTAATTAAGACGATCTATTATTCTACAATGTGCCTAACTGCCTATATATATTCGAATAAAGCACGCGTGCTATCAATTCTTTTTAAACTTAAAATAAGTGAATTTTATCAAATGTGGAATCTTATATATATTCTTCTATGTTATGGATAATATATCTTATGTAATTTTTTTTATTGACATATATTATCAGAGGAGTATGCAATAAGGATGACGTGTAAGGTTCTGCAATGCAATGAATGACTTAATGGGTGGAACGAGTAATTGAGCATGTGTCAATTCAATCAGATTCGAATCATCTTATTAACGAGCGTTGGGTGAAGTTTGTCTCATATGATCAGTCTAGTGTGATTTACGTCTCTCGTCGTCTGCGCGCGTTTCTTCATTACCAAAAAAGAAAGGATGCCGTGCAAGAATTGAATTTGGTTGTTAGTAAGACAAAATATAAGTGCAAAAATGGGTTGGCCAATGTTTCTTTCACTTCTCACCTTTTCCGTTTTCAATATAATTCTCCACCTTTCCTTTTAGAATCGCACTTTTAAAACATGACAACTCCAACTTGAAAATATTAGGGGCTTTCAATTTTATGTATAATTTGCATTATGGTCCTGCTTTCTATCCAAATTCATTATTGGATCTAATGAAGTCAACGTAATCTTTATAGACATTAAAACAATCTGAATTAAATAGGGATTTTTTTAATTTTTAAATACTTTATAGTAACGAAAAAAATAAAAATAAAATCAAGGTAGTATAAATAATGAAGAGTGGGAATATAATTAGTTATCGTCTATTGCAAATTAATTATTTGAGTTTTTAATTTGACCTGAAATTAAGCACTCATCATTATTACAAATTTTATAAATTAAATTCTTATTGTAGGGTCAAAGCTTATTAACTCTTGGAGTCAATGGCTATTTGCATACTTGATAAGCTACAACAAATTTTATTTTATGAAACGGAAATTTAATTTGTATAGTTCATGATTTTTATTTAATTTTTAATATTAATAATTAAATAAAATAATTGTTTATGAAAGTCAAAAGGTAATGAAAATTGCTGACGGGTGTACAATTTGAAGGTATTTATTATAGCTATTGAAAACGATTCATTAATTAAGACAGGTATTAAAAGGTTGTAATTAACCCTTTTAACTATGTATTATATTATGAAAAAAAAATTCTCATTCAAAAACTGTAAAAATGATACATAATTGAGGATGTGACTGTAATTATCCAAATAAGAGGGGGTTTTTTGTAATTTGAGAATGCCTTAGGGAGGTAACCGTAATTTCCCAAAAAATAAAAACAATATCCAAATTGTTGATGTTCGTTTCCGTTACGTACTAGTTGTTATCAATTCAATATTTTGTAATAATGCGATTAGACCAAATTTATGAGTACGTCGCTGCAATTAAACCAATATATTAAATAGGTCGACCAAATTCAATTAATTAATCACAATTATAATTACACTATTAGTGATAAGTATAAGCTAATGAAGAAAGTTATGATGGAGTGGGGAGTATGATTACTAGGAAGGAGTATGCCAAAAGAGAAGAGGGGGGCGATGGCCGATGGGCCGACCATGTAAATATAATGATTAAGTTAAACACGTTTGTAATTATGGAAACTTACAATGCAAGATGTACTTGTGTTTATCGCCACTATATATCTATATTCATTTTCATCTAACTTATTTTTTTTGTTTTGCTTTTTATTTATTAATTTATTTATTTTCTCTTTTGGTTCTTCATTTTATGCTGAAACTGCACTCCAAGTTTCGCAATATGATTATAGGTCTTTTCAAAGAATAATATATAAATATTGCACTTGAGAATATATGATCTCATGTGTTGAATAAAAAGGCCATCATATTAACTTTTTCTTCTTTCAACGACCCAACTCACTAAATTCTACTACATTTATCGAATATTACATCTGTCCTTGCTAAAGTAATTTTCAGTTTTAACTAAATTCAGCCCATATTAATCAAGAAAGCTCAACTCGAGTGATCTTGACAGTTGACTCTATTCTTCTAGACTAAGTCTAATCGGTCATCCAATCACTTAAAATGTTACTCTCAGACCTAATTCACTCACTTATTTTGTTGCGCCTTTATGTTTTTTTCTCTCTTTCTGCGATACCTCCGTTAAACATTAATTGTCTTTTTTTTTCTTTTTCTGGTGACACTTTATCGTCTTCACAATGGGAGACATGCATTGACGCTGGAGCACGTTCAATGCTTCAGATCGTTGCTTTGTTGACTATATATATTGTTGTTAGAGAGAGATAAGGGGGGCACAATGTGTTCAAATTCAAACCACATTTTGCCTTCAATCTTCGTCTTTTGTGAGTACATTGAATATTTCTAAATTTGATAAGTGATTGAAAGTGTTTCTTATTGACTGATTGACTGTGCATGTGTTGATGAATCAACTCAGTGGTGATTGAGGGTAGATCTAGAGTTTTCTTAGTCTGAGTGAATGTTTTCATGCTTGAAACTTGTTGATGTTGTTTATGTTTGAATATTCTGAACAAAAGATCGGATTGTGTGAGAAAACCGAGCCATTAAAGATATTAACAGCTCCATGTGTTAGAGTTATCTCTATTTGTATCTCCTTCCTCTAAACTTATTTTGTCTTTCTAATTATTGTGGTAAAATATTTTTATTTCGAAGTGAGTACTCAACGTAGTTGAATGTATTCGTTCACATTTATAACGGGCCGTAAGGACCAAACATTGGTTTGGGCTAATATTTTGATAATGCAAATAGAGCAACACAGAATATTCTCAATTGGATTGCAAGACTGAAACTCCTAAATGCATTTGAATTAAATAAAAATAAATAAATAAAATTAATCATGCATACCAATTGTACAATGGGATATCTATAATTTCATTATCTTGACAAGATAGGAATCCAAAATATCAAATACAACCCACTATTTCCAAACAATATTATATAAACCCCAAGGGAAAAAAAAAACATTAGCAAGATACAGAAGAAACAAAACATTAAAAAGCACCCACAAAAAAAACTTGCTTACTTATACAAACATCTACACCAAAAATTTAAAAAATTAAAATTAAAATAAAATCACCTACCCTCAGATTTGACAAGCTGCGAAAAAACCCGACTCATCGAAACACCGGAAAGATCATCAACACTCTCAAACCTAGCAACCGAATCCCCACTCTCACTCTCACCACCATTATCGTTACCGTTACCAAACTCCCCGACACGAGGCGACAGCTGTCCAATCACATTGCTACTATTCTCGTCCGGATCATTCCGGACAACAGCCTCCTGCAGCTGAAGAGCATATTCCAGATTCCACAGCACATCCCCCATCGAAGGCCTATCCACGCCGTAATCCGCTAAACACTTCTCCGCGGTCTCCCCGAACTTCCTCAGCGAATCCGGTTTTATTTTCCCCACAAGATTCGGGTCAATAATCTGGTCCAGCTGTCCCTTCTTCTGCCACTTCATCGCCCACTCGGCCAAGTTCACCATTTCTCTCGGAAGCGAAGGATCAATCACGGGCCTAGCGCACAAAACCTCAAACAAAACAACCCCGAACGAATAAACATCGGATTTCTCGGTCAACTGTTGCCTCCTAAAATACTCCGGGTCCAAGTACCCGAAGCTACCCTTGACAGCTGTACTCACGTGCGTTTGGTCTAACTCGGGCCCTGTTTTCGAAAGCCCGAAATCCGCCACCTTCGCCATTAAATTCTCGTCGAGCAATATATTCGCCGACTTCACGTCTCTGTGGATAACCGCCTTCGAATCGCCCGTGTGGAGGTAGTGCAAACCTCTTGCAGCTCCGATGCAAATGTCGAGCCTCTCCTTCCAGCCTAGGCTTGGGAGATCCGAGCCGTACAAATGGCTTTTGACTGTCCCGTTTTCCATGTACTCGTAGACAAGAATCATCTCGTTTTTCTCATCGCAGTACCCGATTAAGGAAACTAAATGGCGGTGTCTGAACTGAGACAGCATCTCGATTTCTGTCCTGAATTCGGCTAGGCCTTGCTGTGATCTAGGGTTGCCTCGTTTGACCGCTATTTTCAATCCGTCCGTCAAAACCCCCTTGTAGACTTTTCCGAATCCACCTACTCCAATCACACCACTTTCATCGAAGTTGTTTGTTGCTTCTTGAACTGATAGAAAAGGTATACGGTAGCTCATATTCGAACCGACGCTCACAGTTGTGCCGGTCGAGTACTTACTCCCCATCGTGTGGGAGTTTCCACCGTTGACAGAAATCGGGACCCATGATTTTTCAATTCTCAGACGTTCTTGTTTCTTTCTTCTATGGATGAAAAACAAAACCCCGAGCAAAATCAAAGCAGCGACCACTCCAATGCACACACCGATAATCAGCCCTAAATTCTTCTTTTTGGCGGGAAATCCAGGCAAAGCAGCCGCTCCTCCGGCGAGGCTATTCTTGGTATTGTTCATTTTCATGACCTCCAACCCGTTGAGAAGTGCATCGGGGTACGCGCTACGAGGCGAAGGACCGATACTTAAACTCAAATTGTTTCTATCAATCAATGGAGTAACAAAATCAAGAAAATACGGAGCCGCCAGCTGGCCGGGGTATTTGGCGGACAACTCAAGATCCGGGGCGACGAGAAACGAGTCAATGTAGACGTTGAATACGAGCTGGTTGGCCGAAGCGCTCGCGATATCGCAGAAGTGCAGACGGATCAAGTACTGAAAACCCGGATCCACTTTGAACCCCCATGTCACGTTGAAGTTGCTATTGGGGTTTGCTGCGGAATCCATCTTCCTGCAAGTCCCGTAAACCATTGGAGGGGCGGTATCCGGGGTTGCACCGCCCTCAAGATAATGGGCCACTCCGGTGGCGAAGGTTGCAAGATTCGGTTGTAGTAAGAAACCGCTGTCCGAAATCCATGTACGACCCAAAGTATCGTTAGCTAAAGAAATGAACGGCCCGCCCATGTTCAGCCTCCAAACGGTCTCCATCGACTGACCCATTAGCCCTTTGAACGGGCCCAACGGGTCGTAAGTGGACGCGTCGTCGGCGATTAGGGTATCGGGAACTGAAACAACTTCGAGGGCATTGATGTATGCGAAGGAGTTACTCGATGGCGAAAATGTAATCACGAGGTCTCCGGCGGTCACGGTGACGGAATATTCCCTGACGGATGAAGAATTCTGAGGGGTGAAGTCGCTGAGGAGGGTGGTTGACTGAGAGAAAACGGAGAAGCTGGCGGATTTCATGTCGTAATTCTGGAAAACGAACGGGTAAAAATGGAGGCGGATCCAATGCCTGCCCGTTTGCCCGATCGAAAGGGTGTACTTCGAAGGTCCCGTGAATATTCTCGCGGTTCGGTAAACCTCGGACTCGTCGGAGGGTGTAATCGAACTGGAATTGCTGCTGGCCAAGATTTCTAGAGGGGCTGACAAGAATCTTGAAGCGGATTTATCAGCTGCAAAAGTGATATTGCCCACAACGACGTCGTTTGGCGAGCCACAGTTTATGTAGTACTTGTCTACAGGATCGAACCCTCTAGAACAACACGCGAGATTCAATAGCAACAAAACCCAGATTGAAACCCTTAAAACCCCACCCCCCATCTTCGGAAAACACATAAAGGTCAAACCTTTGACCTCGATCAAACAGTATATATATATAAATCAAGGATAATTAGCAAAAAAAAAAAAAGAGAAATTGAACAGAGAGAAACCCAGGTTGAACCTTCGAGAGGAAAACCCAGATTCGGTTCTATTTTTTTGGGGATGGAAAATAGTAACAGAAGAACAATAAATTAACTCGAAGAACAGAGCGGAAGCAACAAACCCTAACCTGGCTTCTTCAACAATTTCTCTGCTTTCTTTTTTCTTTTTCTTTTTCACCCTAGAAATACATATTTACAACAGGGACCAACATAAATGTGTGTAATTATCAGATATTAGGGCCAAAAAAATTTTAGGACAAACTTAGTCAAAAAAGAAGCAGATAGTTTATGAGTTTTGTAATAGCAGAGACGAGCGTATTAGGTTGGAGAGGGTTGACATTTTTGAGAAAGGGGGTAATGGAGTTTGGGGAAGAAGAGTAATTCAAGAATGGGGGGAGAGGGGGTGGGGTGGGGTGGGGGTGGGGGGTGGTTTGAGGTGGAAACTGGGGAAGAGTGAAGAAACAGAGGCGCATTTACTTTCTCTCTCTAGAAGAGTTAATGGCTTTTGAAGAGAGAATTTAATTGCACAGAGGAGTAAATTAAATTACTGACTAAACAGTAATTGCTTTTTAACTAACGGATTTAATTTGCATTCGCCATTTTTTAATGTCTATTTAATTAATTTTACATTTGTAAATTCACATATAATAACAAATATATCATAACATTTAGATTTTTTTTTTTTTTGCGTTATAAGTCAAGTTTTTTTATGTGTTCATATTATTATTATTTTTTTTTTTTTGATAATTTGTTCATATTATATATATATTTTTGGACCATAGCACACATATTAAAAAAATTAATAAATGTAATTATATTAAGCAAAATTTATATAAAATCACTAAATTATTGTTGTCGTTACCTGTTTTCAACTAATTGTAATAAGAACGATAAATGGTAAGTTGGGACGGCGAAAAAACAAATCTCAATTTAGATTTTTTTTTATTTGTTCGTATTTAGAATTTTTTTTTTATGATAAGTTAATTTTATTAAAAGGGTGTTTAATTTAATTTTATGAAGTATATTAGTGAGCAACTGGCAATAATTTAAACTTTTGGAAACCTTAAATTACGGAGAAACTCAATGAGAAATAATATAGTTGAGATTTGTTGAAGAGGAGTTATCATTCATTATATATTAAGATAGTGTGTGATTAAAATAATTTGATCTTTGATCGTTTCTCAATTTGTTCGGATAGAAATTTGAAATTCGGTCTGTAATTGATGGCCTAACGGTTGGACAAAGTGAGTTTGTGTCAACTGATTCAAATTTAAATTCCGTTGTTAACGGTCGTTAGATTGAGCTTGTCACACATATTTTACATATTGCGTATGGTTTGCAAGCTGTTACATGAGAGTGTATGGTTAGTTGTGAGTTTATCTATTAAAAAAATAAGGGTAAATTACAAACACTTCCCCGAGGTATGGTCAAATTACAAAAACATCCCTCTTGTTTGGATAATTACATCTACCCCCTCAGCTATGATTTTTTCTTACACCTCCACCCTTATGGTGCCAAATTCAACATAATCATCTAGATTCCGTGGAATGTGCTCTAGTTTGTACTCGTTTGGTGTTAAAATACGGTTTCCGATGCACCACAAACTGATATATACAAGCTAAAAATCACATATTATGATCATCTTGCTTCGTAATGTAGAGTTTGAATGGGATAAAACGGGTACAAAAGTGATAATATTCCATATAATCTCGAAAATTCCACTAATTTTGAGGAGTTTAGGGGGTGGTTGTAATTATCCAAACAAGATGGGTATTTTTGTAATTGGACCATACCTCAGGGGTGTTTGTAGTTTACCCTAATAATAAATAAGAAACTCCAAATTATGCATTCACATGGTGCCTAATGTTTTGTTTATTTTTTTTCACAAAATAAATAATAATGTTTTGTTTATTTAAATTAGTTATGCTTTCACATTTAGGTAAGAACATGGTGCCCATTTCCTATAATGTAACGCGGAGTCAATTATAAGATTGCCACAAATCATGGCCATCTAATTAATTAATTGCTGGTGCCAAGGTGGAATTCCACTTATAATACCACAAAGTTGTATTATCTTTTGTCCCAAATAAACTTTTATTAAATTAAATTATTAATTGTTCAATACTAAATTGATTCCGTGTTATGTCGGTGTAAATTAAAGGCCATATTTTTTATGATTTTTGGTGTTGAATAAATAAATAAAGGAAAATAAATTGCTACTGTTGAATTAAGATGGGGATCAATTATTTGGTAATCCAGAGATTAGCATGGGATTAGATTATCCCACATGGGAAAACATTATAAAATAGTGCTTAGTGAAAGATGGTGGTGGACTTTGAATTGGCAATGTAGCAATTATTCAATATTCCTTTCATTGGTTTATTTAATTACAAACATCAAATTGTTTAGTAAAATTAATAATGAGTAAAAAGCAGTTTGCCCCCTAAACAAATGGTCGTTTTGCACTTTGCCCCCCAAACAAAAAAAATTTGCACGTTCTTACCTAAACTTCGGTTTTTGTTGCACGGTGCCTCAAAATTGGAATATTCCGGCCATTTTGACCGGAATCTTACGCACGTGCTTTTCACGTGAGTTTTAAAGGGGCAAAAGAGTCTATTCACTTACATTCTTCATAAATTAAAAAAAAAAAAAAAGAAAGAAAGAAAAAGAAGAAGAAGAACTTCGTCCTCAAAAATGGCGATCAGCCGGAGTACATCCACCCATACCTGATCAAATCGTCTCAATCGTCGCTCACACTCTGCTACCCATCGCAGTTCAAAAGCCCCGCCTTCATTTACCAATCCTTCATCTCCGATCTCACAATTTCAAATTCGAATAACCCTAATCCAAACGCAAACCACGTCGTATCGTCGTTCAGTGACCTAGGTGTGACTCTAGACTTCCCCTCCGGCAATCTCAGATTCTTCCTCGTCAGAGGCAGCCCCTTCTTAACCTGCAGCGTGATTCCGACCCCAAATTCGATTCCGTACTCGACCGATTCAGCTCGTGCTACCCTGTGAGAGGCGACGCCGTTTTCACGAAGCCCTTCTCTTTGGAGTACAAATGGGAGAAGAAAGGTTGGGGAGATTTGCTAATGCTGGCACACCCCCTCCATCTTCCAATAGTCGTCGTCTTCTTCTTCTTTTTTTCTTTTTTTTTTTTTTTTTTTTTTTTTATTTACGAAGAATGTAAGTGAATAGACTCTTTTGCCCCTTTAAAACTCACGTGAAAAGCACGTGTGTAAGATTCCGGTCAAAATGGCTGGAATATTCCAATTTTGAGGCACCGTGCAACAAAAACCGAAGTTTAGGTAAGAACGTGCAAATTTTTTTTGTTTGGGGGGCAAAGTGCAAAACGGCCATTTGTTTAGGGGGCAAACTGCTTTTTACTCATTAATAATCGACATCAGATTCAAAATTCAAATTGTTATAAATACTTGAGTAAATAGCATTTAACCCCCTGTAGTTTGCATTTAGTGCACATTACCCCTTTATACTTTTAATATAGCATATGACCCCATGTATTTTAATATAAATAGCATGATTATTTAGAATTTCATAGGATGGTTTTGTGCTTATATTAAAATTATAAAGGGGTCATGTAATAACATTAAAAGTAATGGGAGTCATGTGTTAAAAAACTCAAACCGCAGGGGTTAAGTGCTATTTACCCTAATTCTATTTTATCAATGTAAATGAAGCTGCATGGAGAGATGGACTTCACCAAATATTAATAGATTTTGTTGACGATAATAAATTAATGAATTTGCAATTACTCATCAGAATATGACAACAAGAAAGAAATTAAAAAAAACAATCAACATCATCAAATTAAACACTTGCTAGATTCTATTTATTTATTTTTATTTTTTATTTTTATAGTTTCAGACAACTGGAAATAAGCTGTTCATGTTACACAATATGGTCATGATTGAATTGGAGTTAGGTCAAATTTCAAACTATTACAGCAGGCCAATGTTTTGTCACCTTATTCATGTCTCTTTCTATAATTATGAAAAGAGTAAAAAGCAGTTTGCCCCTAAATTAAGGCTCGTTTTGCACTTTGCCCCCCAAACAAAAAAAATTTGCACGTTTTTACCTGAACTCGTTAATTCATTGCACGGTGCCTCCTAAAAGGAATATTCCGGCAGTTTTGACCGGAATATTAGAACACGTGTATTGCACATGAGATTTGCAGGGGCAAATTGGTCCCTTCCCTTACATTATATATTTTAATATTTAAAACAAAATAATAATAATAAAAAAAAAAAAAAAAAAAAAAGGAGTTGTTCATCCACTCATCCCGTCGACCACCATGGCACCACCCTCCCAAATCTAACCCATCCCAGCCCATTCCCTGTAAAATAATTCATCAATTTTTCATCTTGCTCCTCTTGGTGGTAGTGGTTATTTTACTCCTCTTCTTCCAATTTATCATTCATCTTCTCTTCCATTTTCCCCCCCTCGTTTTTTCTTTTTATATTGGTTCTCTGGCAAACAAAATCATTGAAGACAAATGGGACAGCGGCGGTGGTTCTTGTGGTGGTGATTTGTCTTGCTCCTCTTCTTGTTCTACATGATTTTGATTTCGAATTGAATGGTGATTTTTGTGAGAATTAACACTCAAACCCCTATTTTTATTTTCTTGTTCTAACTGTTAATTTGGGCAAACTGACCCACCGTTCGAGAAAACATAAATGAATCTCTTAAACAAATTGACCGCCACTGCGCCGCCGCAGAAGCTGAACCTGCCGGAGCTTCCACCGGTGGAGGAATGCGAGCTGCCGATTATCGATATGGGGCAGCTCGAGCTCGGAGAATCCGCGGTCAGATCCTGCAAGAAGCATATTACTAAGGCCTCGTCGGAGTGGGGTATCTTCTAGGTGGTCAACCACGGAGGACTTTTTTTCGACGGCAATAGAGGACATCTTATACGGCGGCGATGGAGGACTTATTTTCCGGCGGTGGAGGCGGCGAGACAAGTTTTGTCGATGTGTGTTTGAAGCTTGAAGTCATATCCTCGAATATGTCGTCTTATTCTGGTTTTGGTAATTTTGTTTTCTTTTTATTTATTTTTTTGTTTTTAAAGATTAATTTATATTTAATATATAGCATGTAAGTGAATGGACAAATGTACCCCTGCAAATGTCACGTGCAAGGCACATGTTTTAACTTTCCGGTCAAAATTGCCGGAAAATTGAGTTCAGGGGGCATCGTGCAACGAATTAGCGAGTTTAGGTAAAAACGTGCAAAAAATTTTTGTTTGGGAGGCAAAGTGCAAAACGGTCATTAATTTAGGGGGTAAAATGTTTTTTACTCTTATGAAAATATATGCTCAAATTTTGGGCCTCAATTTAATTTGCGAGGATTATTCAGTAAATGCAACAAAATACGTTCCAAATTTAATTTGTCAAGATTTACGGGGTTCGGGGACAGTTCTGTCGATTTTATCACAAAAAAAAAAATAAAAAAATATTTACATATTTTTAATTAATATAACATAAATATTTATCAATTTTAATTTCGTATACGATGCAATATTATAGTTTTCAGTTACAAATTATACTTTTTATTTATTTAAAATCGTAAGATAAACCCTACTGTACTCATTAATTTAATCAAAATCTCCCCACTTTAATTGATATAACCCAATAACCCTGTTTCTTTTGACCCGATTCAATGGGCCGGGCCAATTATTTGTTGGGCTATGAACGATGGACTAGGCCCATTCATTTGGTTTGCAATATAATTGATCACAAATAAACTAATAAACCATTTCATTTTAATTTAGTTTTAAAAAATGTTATTAGTACAAACCCGATTCAACTAGCCCAAGTGGCCCAACAAGTTTGTTAAGGTCCAATTGGGTCTACAAAATGGACTAAGACCCAAAGCTGGACTACTAACTCGACGAATCACACGTCGAAAGAATAATATCATATACTCAATTGTCTTTTAACTATTAAATTCTATCAGTACATGATATCTGACTTGAGCGCTGAAAGGTATCGCTGACGAAAACTCTGGCATGTAACTCGGTGTGTTATTGCGTTGGTAGTCGAGGGAACAAATATCATCCTTTAAGTCAACATGGAACTTTGTGGTGCAGTTATCATGCATCAACAATAACATTTTTATTTTGGAAGAAATTAATATTAATTTAAAAAAAAAAAATTAAAAAAAATTAAAAAAAATTAAATCTCCGGTTCACATTTACAATTGGCTAAGCAATAGTATATTAGTAGCAAAACAAAAATTAATACTATTTGAGATCCATGCATTACGCGGTAATCATCTTAGACTTTTCTCCTCCTAGCATCTCCTTCACATATATATTAGTAATATTTTTATCATTTATTAATTAAAAAAAAAAAAAAAAAATGAATTTGCTCAGGCAGCTAAAAAAGTCAAAGTCAACGTAACATTCAAAAGGAGAGCGTTTGAATATGGACATAATCCGATGGGTTAATCCTAAGAAGATCTTAACATTATTTTGTCCAATATTAATCATTTACTTAATTCGAAATAGCCTAGTTGCAAACCTACTATTTTTTGGAGAAATTGCCATGCATTACGTCCGTTTTAATTTATACTATTATAAGAAGAAAATGAAAGGTATGGGCCTTGAACAGAGTAAACCCAAGGAATTAAGAAGCTCACGTAATCTACGAGATCCGTAAAAAGGAGTGTCGATAAAGTATTTTTTGCCGTTAGCATTTCAATGGTCAAGTTAGTCAAAATTGCAGAGAAATAGTAAGTGTATATGTTCAAATAGCCTAAAATAAAATATAGTCTTCATTTTTCGTTGATCCTCAAGGCTGTATATATACATGTCTAAGAAGTGGCGCGATTACTCCGAGATGCTTAATAATTGGGCATTCCGCTAGTATCACACAACATATTTTTTTTTTTAATTTATAAATAAATTACTTGAAGGACATACTTGCACATATCTAAAAAGTCAACGTTTGAAATATAAGACAAACCTATTGAGCCTTATAGAAATTGACGAAGTCAACCTTTTCCAACTGTAAGACTAAAGAACAACTCTTTTCTTTTTATTTTTATTTTTATTAAACATGTTGTCGTCTTCCCATTTGCGATCTTTTTCATCACATGTCAACCAATCAAAATCCTCCATTCCAGTTAATTAAACCCATTTTTTTTCTACAAGTATATATATATATATATATATATATACACTCATTTATTTTTTTCAAAATCTTCTTCACATTCAGCCTCGCATGGCGGCTATTCATCCACTCTCCAGCTGCCTCATTCTCTCTCTCTGCATTCTCTCAGTATCAGCAGATGGTAATTAATTAATTAATTAACAATTAATTACTTCCATCTTCATTAATCTCCTAATTAATTAATTATTAACTCCCTTTCTTTAATCACTACAATATCTTTTTTTTACAGTATTTCTGAGCATAGATTGCGGATCTTCAACAAACTCATACACCGACGAAAACCTAATCGCATGGACCGGCGACGGCGACGGCCGCTACATAAGCGGCGGCGAAACCCACACCGTCCCCAAAAACAACTCCATATCCCATGTACTCGACACCCTCAGAGCCTTCCCCACCGGAAAGAAGCACTGCTACTACATCGACTCCATCCGGCGAGGCCGCGTTCTGGTACGCGCCACCTTCTACTACGGCAACTACGACGGAAAATCGTCGCCGCCCACCTTTGACCTTTTCTTCGACGGGAACCCGTGGGCCACCGTCGAAACCTCGAGCAGCGAGTATTATTACTACGAGGTGATTTATGTCATGAAAAAGGACACCATCAGTGTGTGCGTCGGCCGGAGAAACGACGGCGGGTTGCCGTTGATTTCTGCTCTGGAGATACGAGGTTTGGAGTCGTATATGTATCAGTTTCTCGCCGAGGATCGTCCTATGTTTACGCTGAGAAGAGTCGCTTATGGCACGAACGCGACTATTAGGTAAGATTCCCCGGAGAGAGAGTTGACTTTAAGTCGCTGCTGAATTAATCTGATTCTAATTTTTTAAAATATAAATAAATCATTTTTTTAATTTGTTTCCGAAAATTATGCATCTAATTTATTATATCTTATTTGGGTAAATTAGGAATACAATTTCTGTATTGTAAATTTGTAACTATTTGGATTCGAAAATGCTGATTCTGAAATAAGTTTATTTTCATAATGGTTTCCAAATTCAAAATCGATTTCCGTGTTTACTTTTTTAATGAAATTGGAATTAGTTTTGCACGATCGATATGTTAAATTTACGCCCATTTATATATCTTAGTTGATTAGTTGTAATCTTGCCCTTGTGTTATGTCGACATACCCACGGGTCCAAACCCGTTGGGGTTGACAGGTCCGGGTCGATTCTGGGTCGGACACGTCCAATCTTTTTTACCATTGATTCCAGACGTCCGATGATCTCGACCGTTATTTTTTTTTTTTTTAACTCGGACGGGTGACAGGTCAACTCGTCGGGTCAGAGTTCGAACTAGTTGTTGGTCAATTTTTTTAAAAAATCATTTTTTTGTACGGGTGGGGCCTGCGGATCACGAGTCTTAGGAAATGTAACCCGTAATCGGCCTTTATATAAGGGCCGGTGTTTGGTTTGCCGGGTCCGGGTCTGATTTGTGCCAAGTGTATGTCTAATTATGTAAATGTTTACTATGTTATGTAAATTTACCATGCTTAAACCATGTTAATTATGAACTAATATTGACAGTTGCCATGATGATTAAATGACATGCAGATCGTTCGACGACCCGTATGACAGAATATGGACCGGCGATGTAGGCGGCAGGGGGTCGACACAAGTAACGAGCACCGCCTTACTGAATCCTATAACATTTTTAGACTCGCCTCCCCCTGCAGTTCTACGCCATGCAGTTACTGCAGTTACTCCCAATTCCACATTGCAACTCTTCATGGGATTCCCCCCTTACATAGCCACCGCCTACATCAACTGGTTCTTCACCGAGGTGGCCGTTGTCCAACCGAACCAAACACGGAACTTCACACTTTTCATGGGCAACCGTTCTTACTCGTCCCCTATCGAACCTATTTACGGAAACCTTACGCAGTTATATGTTAGCAACGTCACTGTTTCACCCAACACTACTTTTTCTCTCGTCCCAAATGCGGGGTCCACACTTCCACCTCTCATTAGTGCCTTGGAAGTGTATCTCATCGGAAATGTTTTAACGGAGGGTACTAACGGAACTGACGGTAATTAATATTGTCGTTTTTTTTTTCTAACATGTTTTTGAGGTTGATAAAAACAGTACTCGACTCTGTTTTCGTACATTCGATATAGTGGACGGGCTTTCTTTATTACAAGACGCTTTCGGTGTGTTGAAAGGATGGAGTGGGGACCCTTGTCTACCGGCGCCTTATTCGTGGGAGTGGATCAACTGTAGCAGTGACTCTACGCCGCCACGCGTAACTGCATTGTAAATTAACTATAAAGCAAAAAAAAATTGAATAATTTATGTTTTCTTGATTGTTGTTCTGATAATTGAGTAATTGGTTTGATTTGATTCGATAGGTTTCTCGGGAGTTTCGGTCTCTCGGGGGCGATTCCGAATATTAGTTCGATGGATGCTCTTCAGATAATGTGAGCATTTACGACTTATCTAACAATCATTAACAAAAACATTTTTTTCCCTGGATTCGAAATACTGATTTTCCATGTTTAATATTCGTGCAGAGATCTTCATAACAACAGCTTGAATGGCTCGATTCCTGATTCGCTAAGCTCGTTACCAAACCTTAAACAACTGTGAGTTAAACCTTTAGAATTAGCCGTCTCTACACGGACGAAAATAACCTCTCGTTTTTTTTTTCTCTCAGGAATTTGGCTGATAACAAATTAAGTGGATCTGTACCGTCGTCATTGTCACAGAAAAATGGACTGAATTTAGTGTACGCCAACGAAACCTATTTTTTTTCCCTATTCGTGATTTTGAAATTTCAGAAACTATATTCGAAAGTTACGAAATCGAATGTCGATTAATATTTTCGGTGTTAAATTGATTTGCAGGGTGAGTGGCAATCCGGACCTGTGTTTACCTGGTGCAATTTGCCCTACTACAAAACCCGGTTCATCCGGAAATTCATTGATCAATGGGAAGATGAAAAACAACATACTTGTAACGATAATTACATCCTTGATCATCGTCTCGATCAGCTGCACAAAATGAAGGTTAATATGTTCTGTCACAACAACTAATAGTATTACCAAAATTCAGATATTTGATTTTATGTCCGTTTTTTTTTTTCGTGTTTAGGACAACAAGTAGCATTGAAGAGCCTTAAAATTAAGGGTAGTAAAAAACGGCCAGGGTTCGATGAAGGAAAACCGGGCGAACAAGATTGACATGCTCGAGATATTTTATAGACATTTATTTCCCCTATTTTAGTTGCCAAATACTGTATATTCACAAATTCATTATGAAAGTACAATCTCGGCTTCTTTTATATACATCTTTGATTATGCGAAAAGGGCTACGAAAGAAAGAAAAAAACGACGAAAAACATTACGTTACGTTTACGAGATTGATAGCCTTGTCGTATGTTCACCGTCACTCTAATTTTCTCGAGATTGACTTTACCACATCTTATTATTAGTCATGATCATTGGCATTTTAGATCTACGAAGATGGTTTTCGAGTTGAAGCCTTCAAATTTTGAAACAAGGATTTTCTAAATAGTCAAGTATACATACATACATTTTTTGAAGTGTTTGGTTCAGATTTTTAAGTATAGAGATGTCTTTCTCGTACATGCTAATTTTTTTTTTAAAATACTGCGACTTGCGACGAAGAATCTATCATTCCTAATTACACGAATTAGTCTATCATTAATTATCGTCAATTTGACATTAGTTAATTGAGAAGAAAATAAAAATGTGACACAGCAAAGAGTACTTCTTCAATCTTCAACTCTAGCTAATAAGCAATCTCATCTCATAGCTACAAGAAACAGCACTTTGAGATAATCAAGAAACGGAGAGATTTATTTCATAATCTCGATTTTCAGGCAGATGAAAATGATTAGCCATCTGAATTCAGTTATCTTCGCTGTTTTTCTTCTATTCTTAACAGCTGATGGTAAACTGTATATGAGTTTCTTGCAATCTTGTTTTTTTTCCAATACAATATTGTAAACATAGTTACATATAAATGTTCTTCTATTCATCGAACTAGGAAGGAAAACACAGGCACATGTCGAGGGCGTTAACGTCAATACATCTTCGAGTAATACCACTTCGTCGGTTGATTCTACTTCCTCTTGCATAACCCATTCCAACGATGGTGATCAATTCATTATTAACCTCAATTCCATTTATTTTTTATCTTCGACTTTTATTCAATTTCTATTTTGTAGATAGAATTTTCTGTTGGGAGAATTTTATGTTAATCATAGAATTAATATGTTGTTTGGTGGAATCGATGCAGTAAAGGGATTGATTGTACTGATCGACGAATTTCCACAACTTGCTGGAGTGAAATTCCCTTCTATAAATAAAGACCCTTGTTCGCCTCACAAGCTGACGTGGATTTCGTGTAGCAATGATCCCATTCGCCGTGTCACAGCTCTGTAATTTATTTATTTATTTATTTTTTCCCATCATCATATATATGATTGTGCAACAATTGAATAATTGATGAATAATTGTGTCTGCAGGTATCTGGGGAGTAGAAATTTGCATGGACCAATTCCAGATTTCAGTTCCATGGATGCCCTTCAGACTATGTAAGAACTGTGTCTGATGATTCAATTTTTAAGTCTCCGATTCGAAATTATTTTAACCGAAATCTCTCTGCAGAGATTTACACGGAAACTATCTCTCTGGACCTATTCCTGGATTCTTCACCTCCTTTCCGAAGCTAAAACACTTGTGAGCGAAACGCTCGAAATTTGTACTTACTATTAGGAGTTGCATTTTTTTACAAATTAATAAGTCTTATGATCTCTGTCTTGTGCTGTCAAGGAATTTGGCCAAGAATTCTGTGTCAAACACTAAGAAACTACGGTTCCGGTAAGCTATCCGTCGCATAAACTACTCTCTTTATCGGTAAAATTAAATCGATCGGTGTACCGTGTACCTGAAAAAGAAAGTAAAAATTATAATATGAAATTATGATTGTTGATTAAATGCAGTAGTTTAGCAGTGGCCGCCCCCAGGCCCCCCAGCTACTACTGCCCCAGATACCCCTGTCCGGCGCCACCGGCTCCCGTGTATCGGTTTTATCGGCCACCACCACCGCCAGCCAGTAGTAGTTATGGGTTTCCTCAACCTGATCATCCATCCAGATTTGGTAAAGGTAAGCGGAGTAAGCTCCCTAAAATACTTGGTATCACAATTCCTCCTAGCCTCCTTACAGCCATTGGTGGGGTATGTTGTTGCGCACGCAGTCATAAGCGCAAAAGAGAAGAAGCCGAAGCCAAAGCCAAAGACGATGCTGCCGCCGCCGATCAACTTGCCGCTCCAGCAGGTCACCCTCCGTATAATTTCCACCCTCTTTAGAGCTCGTGTATATATTTCCGACCAATTTAGATTTTGGATCCTTTGTTGCACTTTACTACTCGTGTGAATTACAAATGCTTGGCGCTTGAACTTCGATTAAGTTTGTAAATTACAGGTGATGGCTCGTTCACTTTTGTTTTTTTGTTTTACAAATAAATTATACTCATTAGAGGTATTCGTAAAATATATAAAAAATACTAAAAATATAAAATAGAGTCCAAATTGCAATTTTGCTAAACTTCTGAAACTTAAAATTAGGGGATTAATTGCAATTTCCCCAACAAAAATTACACCCAATTTCTTTCTTCGTCAGCAAAACCAATTTCCACCACCACGAGGAAGACGATGAGCCACCGCCCATGGCGGCGCCTGGTCGAGTAGGAGTATTCCTTACGCAAACAACATCTTCTCATGCAATCACGACTCGACCGCGAATCGCGAGGGAGGAAAATCGTGGCTGTTATTTCTTTTCGCCGCCTCCTCCCTATAGAACTTGACACCGTGAAACCACGCGGCTGGGGAGGTGGGGGTTGACATGATGAACGTTGGTTATGGTGGATTGGCGGTGCGTGGTTGGCCGGATTGCCCTAATTTACATTTCAGAGAAACCCTATTCCCCCAAATTGAAAATCACGATTTCACCCAAAATGTTTGTTTCGAGGGGAAAATAGGAGAAGCGCCTGTATATTTTCCGGAGGTTCTGTTGGGTGCAAACATTGCAGGGTGAGTGGAAATCCAGACCTGTGTATATCCGGTTCAATTTGCCCTACAAAACCCGATTCATCTGGAAATTCTTTCATTCATCAATTGGAAGATGAGGAACAACGTACTCGGAAACACAAAATGAAGGTTGGCAAGTTCTTACTGTTACAACATTAGTTGTTTATGCTTGCAGCATTAGATTCGAAGAATCCACGTAATATGATGCAGTGATCGATCATCTCCGCCATCCACATAGATTAATTAGCCTTGCCTTATGTTCACTGTCACTCTAATTTTCTTGAAATTGACTTTAACTAGGTCTTATGATCATTGACATTTGCCCTTAGGATTAAATTCTTTCTTTTCATGCCTAGTTTTGGCAAGGAACGGTTGGCATTGACTTCGTCCAACACTGATGAATATGGTTTCTACACACAGAGAGAGAGAGAGAGAGAGAGAGAGAGAGAGAGAGAGAGAGAGAGAGAGAGAGAGAGAGAGAGAGAGAGAGAGAGAGAGAGAGAGAGAGAGAGAGAGAGAGTTTGTATGAGTCTCTTCTGATTGTTTTATTTGCAAAGTTGTATTTGTTAATTAACCAAGATTCCACTTCTGGTTTTGGCCTTTTCCCTCTCATAGTTAACGGGCATTAATTATTAAGCTAAAATGAAATATTCGTGCAGAATTTATATAAATCATCAACAGCTGATGAAAAATTTCGTCTCCACAAGATCATTCAGCTTTGGAATGGGAACTTTCCTGTTTTCCTATCTTGTTTTATCTCTCTTCATTTTATCGATATCAGCCGAAGATATTTGTAAGTATAAGTTAACATACAATCTTTTCATCCAGTTCAGGATAAACTATGTATTATTTAAATTCTTTTATTGCAGTTTTTCTGAGCATTGATTGTGGATCTTCGGATTCTTACAAAGACGAAAACTCGATAGCATGGACAGGGGATGACAACTACGTAAAGACTGGCAAATCACACTCCGTTCAATCCGCTAAATACTCGGTATCCCGTGTAATGGACACAATGCGTGTGTTCACCTTTCCTAGCAAGAACTGTTACCACATAGACTCGGTGAAACAGGGGCAGCGTGTCCTTGTCCGGGCCAGCTTTTTGTACGGTAACTATGACAATAAGTCTTCACCTCCTATTTTTAGTCTTTATATCGATGGGGCCTACTGGGAGACAGTTAGGACTTCGATGTGGGAGGTTGTTTATCACGAGGTGGTTTATGTTTTGAAGAAGGATTCCATTAGCGTATGCCTTTGGACATATCCAGGCACGAATGACCCGTTCATTTCTGCGCTTGAAGTGCGTGGTTTGGCCTTGTATAGGTACGTGTACCGAAATGACGACGAAGATTATCCCTTGTTCTTGTGGAAAAGATTTGCCTTTGGATCAAATCAAACTGTCAGGTAGGGATAATTTTGTTCTAAATATATTCCAGTGCTTTTCTTGTTCAAGCAGTCGGTATGCAAATTTTTTTTAATCACTTTTTTGTATGTGCATATAATCATAGATGAGGTAGACAGACATACTTTGAATTGGTGAAACCTATGTTTCATGTAACGTGTAATGTATTTAATTTAAGCACTAAAAATTCAATTTCTGGTGAATGAGAAACTAAACGATTAATCTTCATTTGATAGACAACAACAAACACCATGTTTTTTTCCGACAAATTTTTGATGCTCGATAACTAATGCATGAATCCTATGGTATAAGATATCTCTTCTTTTAACACATTCAATGATCGTTCCACCATTATAGTATTCTGATCGAGTAAAGACCAAATAATAATATAAATCGATCGAATTGCAGGTACCCGTCAGATCCTTATGACAGAATATGGACTGACCGTGACGTCAACTATGAATCGCTGATCCCAGTTTCAAATAATAATGCCACTCTCACTTATTACGTAGGATATGGTGACGGTCCCCCACCGGCAGTGCTAAAGCATGCTGTTACGTGTGCAGCTCCACCAAATTACATGGCAATCTCCATCGGAGAATCATTCCCCTTTAATCGCCCAGCCTACTACATTGCCTACTTCTCCGAGGTTACTCAGCTTAAACCAAATCAAAACCGTTCCTTCAGAATTCAAATTGACAACGGCCGATATTCCCAGCCAATTCTTCCACCTTATGGGGCCTATAAGGAACAATTCGGTTATAACATCACATTTTCAGAGAAGTCTAAAATATATATCTCACCGACTGGTGACTCTACTCTCCCCCCACTAATCAACGCCTTGGAAATATTCTCTGTTGGGAAGGCGCTAATCAACGGTACCGACGATAAAGATGGTGAGGGAGTTACATAATTGGTGTGCTGTTAGATATTTTTCTTTTCCCCTTCCTATTGCATACTTAAATTTCGTGTTTCATTCATGCATCTTGTTTCAGTGATTTTTAATTTCCCTTCTGAATAAATTGAAAATTGTATTTGCTTGTATAATATTTTTCCCTTTTCGTTTTGGTAATTTAGTGGAAGGCTTGGCTTCTCTGCAAAAAGCATTTCCTGTTTTACAACAATGGACTGGTGATCCTTGTCTTCCTGACCTGCATACATGGGAATGGGTCTATTGTGATTACTACAATTATAAACCACGTCCACGAGTTATTGAACTGTACGCAATACACCTTTATGTTCTAAGCTTATACTCTCACCACCATTATTATTATTATTATTGTTGTTGTTGTTGTTGTTGGCAGACATCTTGGTGGCTACGGCCTCTCAGGAGTAATTCCAGACTTTAGTTCGATGGATGTTCTTTATGGAGTGTAGGTTTTACTCGACAAATGCATATTTGTAACTATATATAATTATATATTAAGCTTATAAACTCTACTAATTTCCTACTTTATTAATGATCACATAATGTTATTTGATTCTGTAGAGACCTCAGCCACAACAGCTTGAAAGGGCCTGTTCCTGATTTCTTTACCAGATTACGGAAACTCAGAACATTGTGAGTGGAAATAAAAAACACTATAACTGACGGATGTGTTTTCTCGTCCTCTGTATTCAGATAGATTAACAGAAAATTATTTAACCCCGGTGTTTAATCTTTTTTTTTTTCTCTGACAGGGACGTCTCATATAACCAGTTAAATGGTTCTGTACCAGCTTCACTTGCATACATAATAGAGTAAGCTTACCCAATTAACCGAATACTAATTATAAAATTCCAGTAATTCAGATTAATTTTTCGAGAAATATATATATATATATATGTATGTATTTGCACTTCTGCAGTGAGAGGGGGAATCCTGACCTGTGCATAGAAGGTATATCCTGCCGGGCATCTTGTAGCTGCAGAAAGATGAATAAGAAGACCGTGACAGTGTTTTTTGGCTCCATAATCCCAATCATCATAACATACATTTGGTTCTAGTTTGAGAATCTTGATTTTGATCGATTGAATTGGTTAGAGTTATATTATTCGATAATGTATTGTAATCAGTATGTGATTGATGATCCCATGTTTGAGGTTTGTGATTATACAAATTGTTTGAATTGTGTAATATATATGCGTGATGCTTTATTTAGAAATAAAAATTACATTTGAATTTGCGTGATGCGTTAGAAGGGCATTCATGGTAATTCAGTTTTTCTAGATTAAAAATAAAAAGCAGAATCCTTGAAAAACAATTTAATCAATCAAGCCTTTTTACAAATGTTTGAGATTGATGTTTTTCAAACACATGATTAAAAATGAGCCGTTCCGAGGAATGTAAGTTGGTACAAGCTTCTAGGATCGAATACTAACAACTAAATTGTAGAAATTTTAACTCCAATAAAGGGTTGGTTCATTGTGGGCACCAGGCTCAAAACCGCTACTCTAACGAATCGTTTGTCCTAAAAATATGGGTGTGACACTACTACTCATTCTAGAATATGCAATTCAAAGCTTACGTTTTTCTTTTTTGGCTTGCATACAAAATTGTAAAAAAAAATTCTCTCATTTTTTCTCATACATGTTATTAACTCAATATCTTACTCCCATCCAATTTGTGTTTTAAATTTCTAATTGACAAATATGAATTGTTGTTCTTTAGGCTTAACAAAAGGTTATTACATATTCCTTAAGAAAAAAATAATATATAGTGTCGTTAATTCAGTAGATTGTACAACGATTGGGATCCACATAGATAGATTAGCCTGCCCTATGTTAGCCTGCCTTATGTTAGCCTGTCCTAGGTTAAATGTCACTCTAATTTTCTCAAAGTTGACTTTACCTAGTTGATATGATTTATTTTTGTACTCGGGAAATAGGTTTTTTTTTTCTTGTCTATTTCTGCAAGAAATTAAACAGTTGGCATTGACTTCATCTTTTCCAACACAAAATATGATGAATATTTGTACCTCACGATTGTTCTTTCTATTTTGCAAAGTTGTATTTATTAATTAACCAAGAAAAGTTTTGTAACCTAGAAAGCAATCTCTCAATCATCAACTGTCTCAAAGACACATCCATTACACATAAGCAAAGTACTTGGTCTTCGATTTATATAATTTTTAATTTATTTTTGGCGGGAGAACGTGATGACTTTATATAAATCATTGATCAACTAATTAACAGCTGACGATAAAAAAAAAAAAAAAATCTAATCTCCTATCTGCAATGGCTGCTCTCCGTTTCTGCTATCTCGTTTTAGCTCTCTGCAGTCTATCCGTGACCGTATCGGCCGATAGTGGTAAAAAGGAAAAAAAAAAAAAAATTATCTTTATGAATTATGATCCCTTTTTCTCAATTTTTTATTTTTTTGCAGTTCATCTCAGCCTTGAATGTGGATCACCCTTCGGCGACAGCACTTATGTAGACAAAAACTCGATAACATGGACGGGAGACGATAAGTACATAAAGGGCGGCGAAATCCGGTACGTGAAATCCGATGACCGAGTATTGCAAAGAATGCGCGTGTTCACCGCCGCACGCAAGAAGAACTGTTACCACATCGACACAATGAGAAGGGGGCGCGTCCTGGTACGCGCCACCTTTTACTACGGTAACTACGACAACAAGTCTTCACCCCCTACGTTCGACCTTCATTTCGACGGCAACTTCTGGAAGACAGTTGTGACTTCGATTTCGGAGGTTGTTTCTTACGAGGTGATTTATGTCATGAGGAGGGATTGGATTACCGTATGTCTTGCTCGTACAAAGGATGGTCAGTTCCCATTCATTTCCACCCTCGAAATCCGCAGTCTGGACTGGTTCATGTATACGGGGATCCCCGAGAGTTATCCCTTGTTTTTGAGGAGGAGAGATCCCTTCGATTATGGAATTATCAGGTGCATACATATAGTTTTCCGAATTCCACCAATTCCGATTAAAAAAAAAAACAGATTTTTTTCGATTTTTTTTTTTCTTTCCAGAATCACTAGTAGAAAAATGGCTTTTTACTACTATCATTAACCATAGTAAAATGTATAAATTCGTACTAAAAAGGCTTTTGCTACGAATTTGCCCCCGTAGAGCATATACGGGCGTGACAAAAGCTTCGCCACGGTAATGGCCGTATCAAATACTTTTTTGCTACGGTAAATTCTAGTATTTACTACGACTTCAAAATTGTTCCATAGCAAAAAGTACCTCTTATTACGATTTTTTACCGTAGCAAAAAAATTCATAGTAATGAGCAAATTTTCTAATAGTGAATGATGATGAATGTGCATGCGTGCATGCAGGTACCCGGACGATCCTTACGACAGAATATGGTCTACTGAAATAGCCAACTTGGGACAAAACCGATTTTACAGTGATGCTTATTTCTACTATCAACATAGTTCAGATGTGGTCCCATCTAGAGATGAGCCCCCACCTAGAGTGCTAAGATATGGTGTTTATGCACCCACTCCAAATTCAAGCTTACAAATATTCACCCTACACAACTACGAAACTCCAGCTTACGTGAATCTCTACTTCACCGAGTTCCGTTATAACCGTCAACTAAACGAAACGAGGTCCTTCACCGTTTTCAAGGACGACAAGCAAATCTCGTTGCCCATCTGGCCACCTTATGGCAATTTCACTGAACTAACCTTTCCTAACTTATCGGTTTCCGGGACTAGTACATTTTCTGTCGTGCCCACTACCTACTCCACGCTTGCTCCCGCGATCAGCGCCTTGGAAATCTTTCTCATTGGAGATATGCTAACCGACGGTACCGAAGGTAGCGATGGTGAGTCAGAAAGCGATCGTATACATTACACACACACACACACACACACATATATATATATATATATATATATATATATATATATATATATATATATATATATATATATATATATATATATATATATATACACACACACACACTGACACACATATGTTTATTATTATCTTTCTGAATGTCCCTTTTTGTGTTTTGGTAACATAATTATATATAGCTCTAGGATTGATTGATCTGCAAAAAGGGTTTGATGATGTTTTAAGAGAATGGCGCGGCGATCCTTGTCTTCCCGCACCGTTTTCGTATGACTGGATCGTTTGTAATTACAGCTATTCTAGACCACGAATAACAGCTATGTAAATAATATGCAACTCTAAGCTTATTATTTGTTATATTACTTATATGAATTAAAATTCATATGTATGAGAATCATTTGGCAGATCTCTTGGTAGCTTCGGCCTCTCGGGGCCACTTCCGGATTTCGAATCCATGCATGCTCTTCAAACAATGTGAGTTTTACTCGACAAACGCATATTTGTTACTTTAAGCGATATCGAGAATATATTGTTGGTACTACTTCATCTAAAAAGTTTAAGCGTCTAATGTTATTCGATTTCTGTAGAGATTTTCACAATAACAGCTTGAGAGGGCCTATTCCTGATTTCCTTGGCAAGTTGCCAAATCTCAAAATATTGTGAGTCGAAATATTTTCTCGTCCTTTATCGATAGATTAACCGAAAATTATTTAACATCGTGGTCTTAATTTCTCTTACAGGAACCTTGAAAATAACCATTTTAGTGGTTCCATACCAGCTTCACTCTTAAACAATAAGGGCCTAACTCTAATGTAAGCTTACTAACCGAATACTAATTTATAACATTTCCAGTTCAAGATTTTCGAGATTTGTAAGAACGTATAACTAACGCTTCCGTTACATTTTTCTCGTAGGGTGTCTGGGAATCCTGACCTGTCTTCATGTACCAGAATGAAGATTAACATTATTGTACAAATACTGTTTGGCACCATAATCTCATCCATCATGTTACATGCTTGGGCCTAGTTTGCCAATGTTGACTGGATTGACAAGATTTATTGAATTGGTTACAATTATATTGTATATGTTAATGTAATATGCGATTATATATTATGTTTGAGATTTGTGATTGTACAAATCAGGGTATTGGTGTAATATGTGTGGTGTGATCTAGTTTGGAAATAAAAATTATATTAATCAGGACTGTGTAGTAAGAAAATACTCAAATGTTTTTTTTTTCCCTGCATGGGTACGGTGTAGCTCAACTGGTTCCGGAGGTGGTAAGTTGGTGCAAGGTCCTAGGATCTAATCTTGGCAGCCGCAGTGTGGGAATTTCAACTCCAAACGAGGGTTGGTTCCTTGTGGGCATCAGGTCCAGGTCCGCTACCTTAACGGGCCGTTGAGTTACCATGATTTACATCCTCCATCAATCATTGTCGGGCCAAGGGATGGGGGCCCTTGGGGCGAGGGGTTCGCCTTTTGGTGCAAAATACTCAAATGTTTTAGATTTAGGTGGTGTTTGCAGATGCTTTTCCAAAGTGATTATGAGTTTTTTTTGTTTCAAAATTAGTATTTTTTTTAAATATTAAAAGGCTCATAATCATTTTGGAAAAGCGTTTGCGGTAAGTTTGAAGCTCGTGATTAAAAATGAGCCCGAATTTTAATTATACATAAGAAGGATATTTAATTTTATCCAAACTCAATTGTTATAGTTTTATTACCGTAATTTTACGTTTTTCTGGATGTATGAGTTTCAATCACATATATTGCAGTATCATTGACGGTGGTGAGTACATGGTATGTTTAAATTTTGGGGGATCGAGGCAGCGACACTAAAAAAAAAAATTATTTTGAATGAATTAGAAAGAGAAAAAAATTTAGGGTTCTTTTTTTTTTTTTTTTTTTTTTTTTTTGCATAATTGAGTGGACTAATAAATAATAATATATGTAAAATATGATGGAAGAATCTGTAATTAAGGGGAGGTTGAATCCACCGTAGCCATGAACTGGACTCGCTCCTAAATGTAATGCTAACATATTCAAACAATCTAACTACCAATCTTATTATCAAACATTCCCCAATGGTTTCAAGTGCATTTGAATGGGTGTGCATGCCATGTTAGAAAAAAATAAAAATTAATAAATAAATAAATAGGAGAGGTAAACCCAAACACCCTCCAAATTAATTTAAAAAGAAACATTAAACTAATTCAAAGGATGATCTGTATCCGATGATAACAATGACTAGTAATCTAGTATCACTTGACATTATTATTAATGACATTGTCATCCACATCCAAAAATAAAATAAATAATAAGAGAAAATGACATATATATATCCATCGTGTCCACTAGTCCACTTCTTCTGTCTTTTCCATTTGAGTAAGAGCTACTAAAAAAAATCACCAAAAACCACTAGTGGAATCAGGTTTTTAAGTCTGGGGCCTCGAATACATTAAAAAAAATATAGGGACCCCGTTGATGCTATTATACATAAAAACATATATTTAATTTCTATATAAAATAATAGGGATGTCAAAAATATTGAGGGGTCATGGTCCCTTGCCCCTATGCTGTCTCTGCCATTGTCGAAAATTCTAAAAATAAGTAGACGGGGCTTGTTCCAAGTAGTCATTTAGTACGTAAGGATATATATATATATATATATATATATATATATATATATATATTTAGAGAGAGAGAGAGAGAGAGAGAGAAGCAATTGCCTTAAATACGTTCTTGCAACATATACATCAAACACTTGGTATAACAATAACAAGCAAATTATAAACGTACTGAAAAATAAAAGAAAAGTATAACACGGCAGTTGGATTGATATTTAATTAAGCACAGTTATACATTTTAAAAAATAATAAAGAAATATAATAGATGGGGAGTTGAGATGTGGGGGAATTGATGGAAGTGATGAATTTTGTATAAATCATCAATAGCTGATGAAAAATCTCTTCCCCACAAGATAATTCAGCTTTGAGATATATGGCTACTTTCTTCATTTTCTCCTGTCTTGTTTTATCCATCTGCATTCTATCTGTGTCAGCCGCCAATAATACTTGTAAGTATCAAATCATATTATATTCCCACCTTTTCATGATACGGGTGGAAATTGGTCCGAAATCTTCTGCATCTGAATTCGAATATATATGAGATTGCAATTTACGAAAATAATTGCCAAAAACTCCGATTTATTTCCGAAAATTACGCTTTTATTATGTATATTATATTTTAGGTGACTAATAGTTTGAATTTTCCGAATTCAGCCAGTTCCGATCGCGAAAAAATCAAATTTTGCAACGAGTTTTCTCATTTCAATTTTCCACATTCTCATTTCAGATTGGAATTGGTTATACGTACACTTCAGGAAAAAAATCGTTTTTTTTTTCTTTCCGGAAGTGCTAATTCTTAAGGATACAATAATTTTGATTCTTTTGTTTTCCTTTCGGCTTGCAGTTTATCTGAATATTGACTGTGGATCGTCGAAATCTTACGAAGACGAAAAATCGATAGTGTGGACAGGGGATGACAACTACATAAAGACCGGCGAACCACACTCCGTTCAATCCGCTAAATACTCCGTATCCCATGTAATGGACACGATGCGTGTGTTCACCACTCGGAAGAAGAACTGTTACCACATAGACGACTCCTCGGTGAAACAGGGGCAGCGTGTCCTTGTCCGGGCCAGCTTTTTATACGGTAACTACGACAATAAGTCTTCGCCTCCTAAGTTTGATCTTTTTATAGAGGATACCGAGTGGGAGGCAGTTGAGACCTCGATGTTTGAGGTTGTTTATTACGAGGTGATTTATGTTTTGGACAAGGACTCCATTAGCGTATGCGTTTCTAGGTCAAGTTTAGGTATCCCGTTCATTTCTGCGCTCGAAGTGCGTGGTTTGACCTTTTCTATGTATCCGTATCAGTATCTTAACGACGGCAAGAATTATCCCTTGTTCTTGCGGAGACGTGTTGCCTTTGGATCAAATCAAACTATCAGGTACGTACCGATCATCAATTTAATTTTGTTTTTCCCCATGCATGAAATCCCCTTTTCCGTAATTGGGTGGTTCTTTCGAATAGGTGCCTCGGAACAACAATATACGTACTAGACATACTTTCATGAACTAATGAAATTTAAAAGCTAGCTAGGTTTCATTTTTAGATACATATAATGTATGTATAAGCAGTAAAAATCAATTAATGGTGAATTCGAAATTAACGTTCATATCCGATAGACAAAAAACACAACAAATTTCGATGTAAATGCGTGCTCAATAAATTAATAATGCAAGAGGCCTATAGCTTCGGATTAATTATAAATTACACCAAAGAGAAGCAATACATAAAAATTTTAAGTGGTCGACGGAATTGCAGGTACCCGACGGATCCTTACGACAGAATATGGACTATCGACAACAACTACACATCATTCATCCCACTCTCCAACGAAGCGACTTTCAGTAATAACGGTGTACGATTAGGTCAAGAGCCCCCACTGGCAGTGCTGAAGCACGCTGTTACCGTAGCACCACAAAACTACATAGTATTCCCCGTTGGAATATATTTTCCCGTTAAACAGCTAGCCTACTACACCGCATACTTCTCCGAGGTTACTCAGCTAAGACCAACTCAAAAGCGTTCCTTCAGAATTCACCATGACAACAACCCGTATTCGCAGCCGATAGTTCCGCCTTACGGGGACTATATCGAACGATACAGTGATTACATTACGTTTTCCAAAGATTCTAATTTATTCATCACAGCGGATGACGACTCAACTCTCCCCCCACTCATCAACGCCCTCGAAATCTTCGCTGTTGGAAAGCCGCTAATCAACGGTACCGACGATAGAGATGGTGAGGGAGTTATATATATATTTGGTATTTCATGCATCTTTTACGTACTTAGATACATACATTTATTCCCCTAAAATTAATGATATATATTAATTTGTTTTGGTAATTATTTGTTAGTGCAAGGCTTAGCTTCTCTGCAAAAAGCGTTTCCTGTTTTACAAGAATGGACCGGTGATCCTTGTCTTCCTAGGATCAATAATGCATGGGAATGGGTCGGTTGTAATGACTATAATTATAAACCACGTCCACGAGTTACTCATCTGTACGTAATTAATACACCTTCTTATTATTATTATTATTATTATTATTATTATTATTATTATTATTATTATTATTATTATTATTATTATTATTATTATTATTATTATTATTATTATTATTATTATTATTATTATTATTATTATTATTTGCAGAGCTCTTGGTGGCTACGGTCTCTCAGGGGTAATTCCTGATTTTAGTTCCATGGATGCTCTTTATTCAATGTGGGTTTTACGTACTCTGCAAACATATTTCTAATTATTAATGATCACATAATAATGTTATTTAATTCTGTAGAGACCTCAGCAACAACAGCTTGAAAGGGCCTATTCCTGATTTCATAACCAGATTACCAAACCTCATGATATTGTGAGTGGAAGTGAAAGAAAGAAAAACACAATATATAACGTTCGGATGCGTTTTCTCGATCGTCTGTATACATGCACAGATAGATCAACAAGATTAATAAACCTCGTGTTGATTTTTTTTTCTTGTCTGACAGGGACGTTTCATATAACCAGTTAAATGGTTCCATACTAGCCCCTTTCGCAACCAAATTGGGCCTAGGATTACGGTAAGCTTACCCAATTTACAGAATACTCATCATAATATTCCAGTATACATTCGACAAACTTATATATACATATATATAATACTTCTTATACATGTTGTTAATTCCTATATATGTATATGTATTTGCACATTTAATTTGCAGGGTGGCGGGGAATCCTGACCTTTGCGTAGAAGGCAAATATACGTCCTGCCGGCCGGCATATTCTTGTGGCAGAAAGATGAATATCAACGTTATGACAATATTGTTTGGCTCCATAATCCCAATCATCATAACATCATATACTTTGTTCTAGTTTGAGAATCTTGATTTAGACCCATTTCATAATTGGTTAGAATTATATTATTCATGATAATGTACCTCTATATATATGATTATGTGAAATTGGAGTTATTGATTTGGAAAAACACTTTGGTTATAATCCTTTAGTCGTACTTATTAAAAAATGTATTCGTAGGATATTTGAGTCCAAACAGAAAATGAAAGAAATCATATATGGATTCATCCTTCTATAATAAAAAAAAAAGGGTAAATTACACCGACACTCTTAATATATGCTAAAATAACTTTAAGGTCCATGTCGTATTGGTAATTACAATCACACCTCTGAAACATCTACCAAAGCCAAAGATTTCATATCTTGGAGACCGATATGCACTATATTTGTTTCCCGCGGGGCCGTTAATGCTACCATAGACGCAAATTTATAAAACTTTATGGGTCCATTTGGATGGAGGGATTTGGGGAGGGATTTGATTTGGAGAATGGATTTGAAATGACTCCAATTTTGGAGTCATTTGAAATCCATCACTATAGTAGAATAACTTATTCAATGCATTATTGAGATAGGGTTTCTAACAATGTTTCAGGGGTGATTGTAATTACCTATACTACAAGGACCTTAAAACACAAGAGGTTGAATGCAATTCGAATCGTGTAATGTCGTTATCGTTAGGTCAGTCTATATATGTGCAACTCTAAATCTTTAATTTAGTGTTAATTAGGGAAAAAATTTACTTTAATTTCAACTATATTGAGTATTAATACGACAAAATCTAATATTGGATCTGTATTGAGCTGGTCATACATACATTACTTTTCTCTTGACGGGGACTAGCACAAGTATAGTGCATGCCTTTAATTCCAATTTCCAGCTGCTGTTATAAAACAATTTAAATTATATGCAGAAACTAAGACTTGCATTTTTCCCCTTAATTTTACGTAATTAATTAAGGTGTTTTAAAATAATAAAGAATTTATTTAAATTTGTTTGAGATAATATTTAATTTCCACAGCCACATTCGTATAATCATCTTTTGGTTCATAATTAATTAATTAAGCAATCATGACGAATATAATGTATGTAGTTATAAGTATTTACATTTTTATTTGATCAAATTAATGGTTTAATTAGTGGATCGTTGACATCCAGCGTATTCGTATGAATTAGTCTCTCTTGTTATTAGTTGTTTATTTTACCAACTTGGCATTTGTTAATCCATTAAAGAGAAGTTCAAACACAAATTACATTTTCAATATCTTCAACTCTGATAATAATTAAGGAACGAATATCTTCAACATACTATAGAAACTTGAGCTTTATGATGAGCTCGAGCTCGAGCCCATCCATAGTTGTTAATAAGGTCACGAGCTTTATATATATATAATATAATAATAATAATAATAATAATAATAATAATAATTAACTAGTCCTTTTAGGAAGGAAAATGAATAGTCGAAATGCCACCAAATTGCTTTCTCTAAACTATATCATGATAAGACTAAATGATTGATAATTTTTCATAGAGTTGACTAATAAATTTTAATATCATCTTACTTTAAGTAATATTATTTAGTGTCTTTGACTTTTGTTATTAAAAAACCTTATTATTATATATAGCGTTATTGTTTTAAATTCATATAGTATTTGTTTAGATGTGTAGTTATCATACTACAGTATATCGCACTTAACTATTACTAGAAATTAGCAAAAAACATACAAAAATAAATGTTAAGCATATTTTTATTATTTAATAGTTTGAATTATTTAAGGATATTAATATTTATATATACAAGAACATGAAATCATCTTTCGATTTGTTGCATTTATTTTGCCACGACCAAAGTAAGGCCAGAAATACCTTTCAACACAAAAATTTGAATGAACATAAAGATTTCAATCGTTGACCAGAATTAGGTTATCATTAATTATTGTCAATTTGACATTAGTTATAATTGAGAAGATCATAACTGTCAAACATCAACAACTTTTCCAATCTACAACTCTATGAGGCTTTTAAAGCAACTTTAAAGACACACAGAGAGAGATTATTTCATAGTTAATAAATTGAGAGAGAGAGAGAGAGAGAGAGAGAGAGAGAGAGAGAGAGAGAGAGAGAGAGAGAGAGAGAGATTATTTCATAATCTTGATTTTCAGTCAGATCAAATCAAGAAGTAAAAATGATTACCAATCTGAATTCAGTTTTCTTCGCTCTTTCTCTTCTATTCCTTATAGTTATAACAGCGGAGGGTACGTAACGCAGTCTTTTTCGTGTTTCTTGAAAAAATTGTAAACATAAATATATATAATAGATGTTTCTTCTATTTCATTTGTTCTTAACACTTACAAGATTGATCAAACCAGGACGGAAAATCGAGGTTAGTACAACTTCGAGCACTTCATCGGTTGAGAATTCTACGTGCGCGACCCATCGGAATGATGGTCAATTCCTTAACCTTAATACTATATTATATATCGTCGTCTTTTTATTCAATTTCTGTACGTTTTGCAGATATAATTTCGTAGCTATTATATATTGCCGGCAATTAATTAATGAAACGGAGGCAAAGGTTTCGCAATAATTTAGTTTTTGTTTATAAAAAACCTTATTCCATAATTTAAAATTTGAGGATTGTTAACCACATAATTAATTCATATATTAGATATAGAAGATGTTTTAAAATTTATTAAAATGATATTTTTGTGGATATTATTAATGCAGTGGAGGGATTGGTTGTACTGATCGGCGAATTTCCACAACTTGCCGGAGAGAAATTCCCTTCGGCAACTAGAGACCCTTGTTCGCCTCACAAGCTGACGTGGATTTCGTGTACCGACGACCCCATTTGCCGTGTCACAGCTCTGTAATTTATTTATTTATTCCCATCATATATATATCATTGTTTAATAATTATTTGAATAATTGAAGAATAATTGTGTGTGCAGGTATCTGGGGAGCAGAAATTTGCATGGACCAATTCCAGATTTCAGTTCCATGGATGCCCTTCAGACTATGTAAATAAGATTGTGTATTTGTGTCTGATTTAATTTGGTTTCAAAATTAATGATTCAATTTTTAAGTCTCGGAGTCGAAACTTTTTTAACCGAAATAAATCTCTCTGCAGAGATTTACATGGAAACTTTCTCTCTGGACCTATTCCTGGATTCTTCACCTCCTTTCCCAACCTAACCTACTTGTGAGCGCTAAACACTCAAATTAAACTTTCTGCTTAGTTAGCATTTTTTAATTCATCTTTAATTTTTTCACTAATTAATTATTGTTATGTTAATTGCGTTATGGAGGAATTTGGCAAACAATTTTGTCACCGTACCACTCCCAGATTCGGATTCAAATACCAAGAGCACAAAGTTCAGGTAATATAATCTGTGACAAATTTAATATTATATTACACCACAATTAAATTATAAACATTAATTATGATTAATAATATTGATTATATACATGCAGAAGAAGTTTAGCAGGCACGGTCCCAAGTTACTGCACGACTTACCCATATTTATGCACGTGCATCTACCCGTACACGTGTGCGCCGCCCTCCCCCGTGTATAGGTATATTCCGCCACCGACCTCCGGCACTCAATTTCCTTATATGCCAGATCCGACAAATTTCAACTACGGTGGAGGCAAACCTAATAAGCCGAGTAAGCTCCCTAAAATACTCGGTTTCACAATTCCTCCCGGCGTCGTTGCCGCCATTGGTGGTGGTTGTTGTTTCGCCCGCCGTCGCCGCCGCAATCAACACCCCGACGCTGACGCTCCTCCTCCTCCTCTTCCACCTTCTCCTCCTATTTACCCCTACCCCTACCCCCCCAACCCGCAAAATCGTTTTTAAAGCTCGCGTGTAATCAGACAAATTTTAGATCCTTTAATTTGTTGCATATATTTACAAAACTTGTGCTTGAATATTTGTTTTAGCATACACATATAATATATGTTTGTGTGTGTGTGTGTTTGGAAATTGATTGTGTTTGTATTATGATACACTTGGTGAAAAAATTAAGCCGAGTAGAACTACACATATCAACGTGGATGTGTACGTGCCTTTAATCAATAAAACATATTATAAATCAAAGTAGTTCTTCCACATGTTTTACCCTTCTAAATTAAAAATGCTATCGTTTAATTTTCCTTTTTTTTTTTGCAAACTTATAATTAAAGAAAAAAAAAAGGAAAAAAAAAAACAAAAACAAAAAAGAGGTCGTAACTACGCCACAGGTTGTTCTAAAAGGTTAGCCCAGACAATAGTAAGACTGGACACAGGGCCGCTCCTGACAATCTGAGATCCCTACACGAACGTTAAAATTATTCCTTCATTTTTTTAATAGTATTTAAATTCTATTGTTATCAACATATTGATCTCTTTGAATTGAACTCAATCGATTATAGTTAGTTCATTCAATCCTTTTGTGATACGGATGTTTGGTTCGAGATTTAATTTAATCTATAAAGAAATTGACTTATACATTTGGATATTAATTAATAAGTAATAACATTCTATAAGCAATTAAATACTTTCAAAGAGACTCAAGACAACATTTAAATTGGTCATTTTTTATATCTTTAGAAATTGAGATAAGTAATGACTTAAACGTACTACATAAC